ACTAAGATGATGGACCCTAAGGTTAAGGAAACAAAGTTACCTACAGGTCGAGGGTTCAAGTCCTGGCTGCCAGAGCAAATTTCTGAATTCCTAAGACTATAAGAAAAACCACACCTTTGCTAAACTCCCTAACAGTGGGAGCTTTCAGACTGATTTACAGCCACAACAGAGGTGGCCTTTCAAACATTCTTTTCTGAAAAGCTATTGCAGATCTTAAACCAGTTTCAGCCAGCTTATAGAGGTTGCACACAACTGTCTTTGTGTCCTATAGTTCACATTTTGATGTAAAGAGTCAAATCCCACTTCATTTTAATGTTAAACGCCATCCCAAAGGGAACACGGGATGTATGTTACATACATGTTTATGTAATCTCCATGTGCTCTGCTACCCTCATAAATATGTATAGCCTTTCCACCAAACCTGCTGAATATGTATGCTACTGGCCCTCGAAGGCATAAAATCCAACCTGTCCTTCCCCTCCTCAAAGATAGAGCACCTTCCGTTCATGCTGGAGCCTTTCTCTTCCTGGTTTGCAAGCCAGTATCACCGATAAAGCTCTCCTTTCTACTAGTTAGCCTTCCTGGTGGTCTTTTGGACAACAATAGTATTTGCTTTATATATTTTCGTACATTGTTTTCTGTTGTATAGATAGTCATATCTTTTATCTCTTTTGATAGATTATTTTAAGAAAAATATTCCTTCTAGGTCAGTTGAATGTTTTTAGTAACTTTTGCCTTGTATGTATTTTCCCATATTTTTATTTTGAATTTTTCTATGTCATTTACTTTTAGAAATAAGCCTTTCACTTACAAATATAAAAGATGAAGTACAGCATTGAAAAGATGAAACTTATGTGATTGACATCACGATCAAAAATATTTGACATCCACAACTGGATTAGTTTTGCACTCAGAATTCCAAAGAAGAAACTTGCTATAAAATATGACCAAATTGCACCGATGACATCATGAGCTACGAGAGAGTAGAGTAAACAAGAAATAGTTAGTAGAACTTACTTGCCCTTGATTTTTTTTTTTTTTTTTTGAGACACAGTCTCACTGTGTTGCCCGGGCTAGAGTGCCGTGGCGTCATCCTAGCTCACAGCAACCTCAAACTCCTGGGCTCAAGCGATCCTCCTGCCTCAGCCTCCCGAGTAGCTGGGACTACAGGCATGCGCCACCATGCCTGGCTAATTTTTTCTATATATTTTTAGTTGTCTGATTAATTTCTTTCTATTTTTAGTAGAGACGGGGTCTCGCTCTTGCTCAGGCTGGTCTCGAACTCCTGAGCTCAAACAATCCGCCCGCCTCGGCCTCCCAGAGAGCTAGGATTACAGGTGTGAGCCACCGCGCCTGGCCCTTGCCCTTGATTTTAAGTGACACTCTAGATCAACTTTTCTTTTGGTCATTTTCTTTAAAATTAGCTCATTGCTACAATGAATAGGGGAGTGCAGACATCCCTCTGACATACTGATTTTGATTCCTTCTACTCAGAAGTGGGATTACTTGATTGTATGGTAATTCTATTTTTAGTTTTTTGAGGAACTTCCATACCATTTTCAATAATGGCTATGCTAATTTCCATTTCCACCAACAATGAAATTTCCTCTTCTCTGCATCCTCACTAACAGTTGTTATGTTTTATCTTTTGAATAAGAGCCATTTTAAACACGTGTGAGGTGATATCTCATTGCGGTTTTAATTTGCATTTCTGAAATGATTAGTTATGCCTAGCATTTTTTCACATACCCATTGGCCCTCTGTATGTCTGCTTTTCAGAAATGTCTGTTCAGGTCCTTTGCCCATTTTTGAATCATGTTTTTTGTTTCCAACATATGGAATCAACCTAAGTGTCCACCAGTGAGTGAATGGATAAAGAAAATGTGGTATATATACATAATTTAACACCATTCAGCCTTATAAAAGAGGGCTGAATAATCATTTGTAGCAACATGAATGAACCTAGAGGACATTATACTAGGAGAAATAATCCAGGCACAGAAAGAATAATACCACATGATCTCACTTATATGTAGAATCTGAAAAAGTTGAACTTGCAGAAGTAGAGAGTAGAATAATTATTACCTGAGGCTGAGGGTGGTGGAGAGGGAGGCAATGGAGAATTGTTGGTTATTGGTTACAAAGTTTCAGATAGACAAGAGGAATCAGTTTTGAGATATATTCCATAGTAGAGTGACTGTTGTCAATAATAATGTATTAATATTTCAAAATAAATACCAATGTTTTTTTAAGAGAGGAGATTTCAAGTGTCTCACCATAAAAAATTACAGTTTAGTGAGGTGATATTTTCATTAGCTTGATTTAATCATTCTACATCGTATATTTACATAAAAACATCACATTATACCCCATAAATGTATACAATTATGATTTGTCAATTAAAAATAATATTAATAAAAAATAGCTTATCTTTGGGGTAGATGTACAGTATTTTCTTATTTTTAAGTTGAAAGAGTTTCTTTTTGCTTTTTTTATCTTGCGTGCTGCCCAGGCTGGAGAGCTATTCACAGGCACAATCATAGGGCACTACTGTTCTGAACTCCTGGGCTAAAGCAGTCCTCCTGCCTCAGCCTCCCCAGTAGGTGGGAGTACAGGCCTGTGCCACTGCTCCTGGCTAGGGTTTGAAAAATTTGGTTACTTTGGTTTATGAGCTTCTTTCAGGCTCCATTAAGGAATATATATTTACTCAGCGCCTACTGTGTGTCAAACATGTAATAAATTTTAGAGAGACATGAATGAACAAGAAGTAGGAAGTCCATAAACTCATGAAACTTATACTCTAGACCAAATGTAATACATACAGGAAATATGGAAAAAGGCATGCCTTCAGGTCCCATCTGAGTGAATCTCCTATATTATTGACCTGACAAACTGAATTATTGCTTCCTTGTTGTTGAGTATTTCATTTATTTTAACTTTGCCCCCTGATAAACAATGCTGCAGTGTATATTTTTGTATATAAGTTTTTTTGTTCTTCTCTATTACTTCCTTGGGTCCCAAAAGTGAAATCACTACACCAAAAGATAGTTGCTCCTTTGTTGTTGATATTTTTATATTTTGCCTAATTGTTTTCCACAAAACAATGTTACGATGCCCTTCCCAGGAAAACAGGGAGGCTGAGTTCATGGTAGACTCAGTTGCTGGAACCAGGCATGGCTCTAAGCCTCATGAGTTCTAGGCTTGGAGCTGGCCTTGGCAATAATTTTGGGAGTGCAGCATCTCCTGTCACTGAAATGTAGGATGGAGGCCAACTCTGGTTTCAGAAGCATACAGGAATTTGGAGTTAAAAGACCACAATTTGAAAGCTGTTTTCTCCTTTAAGAAGGGAAAATATCTCTTAATAAGTAATATAGTTTGCCAACTAGATTTGTTAAGCTGAGAAAAGTCTCAAAGCAAATTCCTTATTACTTATACAGTTCTTAAATTCCTAGCACCTAAGTTGGAAAGGGTAAGAACTCTGAAAACAATGACTCTTCTTAATTTTTTCCTATTATGAAATATGTGCTAACTTCAAAGATTAGTAACACTGTTTAAATAATTACAGAAGTTATAAAAACAATGGTTACTATGAAAATTATTGATTCATAATTGTGTCAGTTGATGTAAATGAAATATAAATGCAATACCAGTAAAGCTTATCAAACATCTTTATTTCTTAAGGGAAATTTTTCTTTCAAAGCCATTAAAAGTTCAGAGAAAGTCCTAATGACTAAGAAAATAAGTTCATTACTCTCTTTCTCCTACAGCAGAGTTTTCATTATTGAAGTGATTAATATTATTTTAATAGTGAATATTTACAGTTTTTATCCCGGTGAAACATAAAAAATAACATAAAGTTCTATCCATTGATTATTATCAAAATTACAAGACAGGCTCTATGAAAACAAGGGAACTTTGTCTATTGTGTTTGTGGGTGAATAGGTTCTAGAATAGGAACTATTACATAGTGCATATTAATAAATAATTATTGAATCAATGACTCAGTATCTTTTCCCCCTTTTTCATTTTCTGCCCCCCCAACCACCCCACAGTAAGTATCAAGAAAGTTCTCTTGATTAGACTGGAGATGTCATTTCTGATCCAAGTTTCCCTGAAATTCTGTCATCATATATAATATCTTGAATGAAATCTGGTAGAATATGGACCAGGTTTAGTAGTTGGACTTGGATTTTCCCAACTGGCATGCATGACTGTACTATTTTGTGCTTTTCAGTTCAGTTTCCCCAAAGGTGGCCCTTGAGTTTTTAAGATGCTTCTGAGTACAGATATTTCTTTCTCGCCCACCTTAGTTATCTTCAGGAAGGTTATGTCTACAGGAAGTTTTATGGTGAAAAGTCCCTGAGTGCTTTATTGGGTCACCTCCATTTGTACTCTGGATGTTGGTAGAGTTTGTGTGTGTGGTTATTTGGCTTTCTCACACATCACAGTTGGCAAATTTGAAATACTTAAAGACAATGTATCTTTCTGTGCTAAACTGGGGTTCAAGGTTCACCGCAGATGTTCCAAGCTTCCATGGCCTGGGTAAACTAACACTGGATACAGAGCTCCATCAGTTTGTTGCTCACAAGTCTCAAAGGCTAAAAGCAAGTACTTCGTATGCCCAACTAGGGTAATGGTCCACCACCGGGACTAGTTCCTTGAGGAACAGGTGGGGGCAGGGGGAGGTTCCCAGGATGGAGCTTCTTGGGAAAGAATAGTCTTCACTGAATTTTAGGATAAGCCAGGAATAGGTAAGAGTAGAGGTAAACAGGGTCCCTGGGTGGTCAACAATGAAGCCCTCTCCAGGGATAGAAAAAAAAAAATTACAGCTCAAACCTCTTATTCTTGAGTGGTTAAAGATAATTTGGGATAGTCTTCATTGCTGGGGAGAATGAGTAGTAGAAGAATTCCACTGTGGATTATTTGGTATCATACAGACCCCGTGGTGGACTAGAATAAGGTCTGGAGCTAACTCCTAAACATTTTTTTCCCAAGGGAATGGGCGTAGTGGTGGACTGAGACAATGCCGCAGAAGGCCTTAGAGCACAGACAGCCGGTGAGTGGAATAGTATGTCATCGATTTCTCAAGAAGACTGTAAATCATTGCTTTTCCCAACTAATGCAAATACACCATGAGAAAAATGGTAAATAAACACATAAATTATAAGTAATATCATGAAAATATCTTGATTTCATGGACACCCTGAAAGAGTCCTGTGGATCCTCTTCCTCTACTACCAAAGGATTCAGAGACTACACATTGGGAATGACTTTTCTAGGAGCAAGATATGGAGTTTTGACCAGGGAGGAGCACATAAGATGCTTCTGGGGCTGCTGGTAACACTAAATTTCTTGCCTGAGTGATAACTACATAGCTGTATACTTTATAATCATTATTATAATGTACGTATATTGTTTATTTTATACACATACACAAGGAAAAAAAATATTAAGGTTCAGGGCCATCTGAAAGTTGTAAATGAAAGAGCTCACATGCACCTTTCAATTCCTCTGCTTACAAGCACTGCTCCCTGGCCCTATAGATGGCCACATAACCCACACTTCCTGCCCGAGTTTATAGCTTTCTATGTGGCCTGCATGGGAGACAGATAGTCCCAGGGCAAAGGACAGAGAGGCTGCCTCCTCTCATTACTCATGGGTGCACTACCTGGCTTGTTTTCTAAGCTCAACTTCAGCACATAAAAGAAATCGCTAATCCTGATTGTCCAGCATTCTGGCTCAGCCCAGGTCTGTGGAATGGTGCTTCCATAACCATTTTCATGAAGAGTCTCAACCCAGCCTCACAACAAAACCATAGCTAACATTAAATAAGGAACACGTGATAGTACTTTGTAAAGGGTAAGTCACTATACCAACACTCGCTACAGTATTCCTACAAGTATAATTTATGGTAAGATATTACAAATTTATGTTAGCTTTTAGAGAACACAGGATTCTGATTTTTAAAAAATTAAGAAGAAAAACAGGTCTTTACCTAAGGTATGGTTCATCTTGCTTTGTCTTTTTTTGTTAATATCCATGATACCACTAAACGTCGTTAATGAAGTAACAGAGGTCATCAGACTTTCTCCAATAATTAAACTGGAGAGGCTTCTAGAAAGACCTATGTATGTTGAGAGGGGAAAGATGTTTTTTAAAGTGAGAAAAACATTAAATACTAAATATTAAATAATAACATTTTATTAGCAAATAGAAGGATATTCCTAGCTTGGATTTATATCACATAATTTCCCCCACTTACTTAAACTTCAGTCCTGTTTTAAAACTCCCTTTAAGGAAATTTCATTGTGTATGAACTGTAAATTAAATCTAGATCATCAGAATTAGGTACAAAATTAATTGTGGTCCATTATGTTTATGTAAGTGAGATAATTAACTAGACCTCTCAGTCCTTGTTTCAAAGCACAGATAAAAGCGTGAAATTATTTTTTTTAATTCAGTGATTTTGTCTATATAAATACATGCATTATAAATCAGATGTATTTGAGGAAAGACAGAAAACTATGATTGAAGGATAAAGTAAATTCATAGACCAAGGCTTTATAATATGGCATTTAAATGGAGTATTAGGAAATTGTTCAGATAATCTAGCAAGAGTTAGAAATTACCTGACTGTCCCATACAATACATTCCTTTCAATGGTTTTAGAAATCAAACTCCATGAATGGAGAGAATCCTGATATTACCTAGTTCTATATTAATTTTTCTCTATTTATGATGATATTCTAAGTTTAGATGTCCATCAGTTGCCCTTTTCTTCTGCCATTAAATATGCCTATAGTGGCAAAATTATAACTTTGAGCATCTCTAAGTGATTTTCTAAAAGCCAAAGGAGGGAAATGTTATTATATAATAAATTCCTTTTTGTGAACCAACCACTGTGTAACTGTGATCACAGCCTAACTATAATCAGTATGCTGACAGAAGAGAAGAAACGCCAAGGCAGTTTGTTCCTGTGGCGGCTCAATTGCTTCCCGGTCCGGGTCTTCCCTTCTCCTGGTATGCATGTCCATTTCTGTAAGACTTTGCAGGGCTTCTCATCAAGATCTGGTCTGTTTGGTTATGAGGCTTTATGAGAGCAGAAAGATCTCTGCCTCCTCTCTGTTGATCTCCTGTCATCATCATGGCAGCATTCCCTGGCCACCCCACTGGAGAAATGTTAAAGATACATGAAGGAAAGATGGATCTTCCCAGTTGAGGCCAGCCTGGGTCACTTAACCTCCAAATGACCTGTCAGCTGACTATAGATTCATTTGTGAGCCTAGCCAAGATCAGCAGAGTCCTTTTCATATCATCAGAACTGCCAGGCTCATGAGAAAAAATAAGTAAGTGTTGTTTTAAACCATTACATTTAGAGTGTAAGATAACTGATATTGTTATAAAATTATTCCATTTTGGCAAGCGTGAATATTCAGAAATAAATAATAGATACAGGGGATAAGGAAAGTCAAAAGAACATAAAAAACTCAAAACAATGTTAATGTACTCATGTATTCTACTGATAGTCCTGGGCAGATTTTTTTGAGGAGGTGTGTGTGTGTGTGTGTGTGTGTGTGAATGTATAAACACATTTACACAAATTTATAAATATACATATTTATAAATCTTCCTTTGGAAACTCAACAAAAAGGCTGCCGAGAGAAAAATACTTTAAATTTTTTGTGAAAGATGCAAAGTGAAAAGAAAAACAAAATTTCAAAAATGATGGTAAGGTGCCAAAATTTATGAGAATAATCTTGCAAAATACTCCAAATAGATTATTATTATTTAAATTCAACAATAGCAGGCTAGAAAACCAGTGGAATACTGCACTACAAGATTATAAAGTTAAGGGAAGTGTGAAAGTAGCTCTCGGCTATCACAGGAGTCCCTCAAATCTTTTGAGGAGAAAAGCGTTGGCACTGACAATGTCACACAGAGGGAGGAATGTGAGATGAGAGCGTGGGGAGGAAGACAAGAACCCAGGCTAAGGTGATGGATGCTAGCAGTTCCTCCTTCTAAAGCCTCACCCTCTTAATCGCCTTGTCTTGAAGGCTTGGCTTTCTTTCATTCATGTATTTATGCCTCACATGTCTCCCATACTTTATTTCTACGTGCCTCAGATAGTTCTTTCCCATTTAACTGGCCATAAAGTGAAAATAAAATTGAAACGAATATGTGTGTGTGTGCACATGCACGCATGGTTATACAGTGGTTAGTTCACAAAAAGGAATTTATTATATAATATTTCCCTCTTATGGCTTTTAGAAAATCACTTAGAAATGCTCAAAGTTATAATTTTGCCACTATGGGCACATTTAATGACAGAGGAAAAGGACAACTGATAGATGTCTAAATTTAGACTATCCTCTAAGTAGAGAAAAATTAAGATGGAAGTAGGTAATATCAGGATTCTCTCCATTCATGGAGTTTGATTTCTAAAATCATTGAAAGGAATGTATTGTATGGGACAGTCAGGTAATTTCTAACTCTTATTAGATTATCTGAACATTGCCTAATACTCTATTTAGATGCCATGTTATAAAGCCTTGGTCTATGAATTTACTTTATCCTTCAATCATAGTTTTCTGTCTTTCCTCAAATACATTTGATTTATGATGCATGTATTTATATAAGCTAAGTAACTGAATTTTAAAATAACTAATTTCATGTTTTTATGTGTGCTTTGAAACAAGGACTGAGAGGTCTAGTTAATTATCTCACTTACATAAACATAATGGACCACAATTAATTTTGTACCTAATTATGATGATCTAGATTTAGTTTACGGTTTATACACAATTAAATTTTCTTAAAGGAAGTCTTGAAATATGACTGATGTTTAAGTAGGTAGGGGAAATTATGTGATATGAATCCAAGCTAAGAATATCCTTCTATTTGCATGCATGGATGTTCCATATTAATTTTCTATTTTAAAACAATTTTTCTAGTTCTCTTTGTTAAAGAGTGACCAATAAAAAAAATTAGGGTGTTCTTCTTTGTATGAGGCTTTTGTATTTTTTCTTCACTTTTCTAAGTTAAATTGACTGTGTATTTTACTTTAAAATATAGATTTATTACTGTTAAAATAGTATACACTGAAAACAACTACATGATTGGTGATTTTATTGTTTTTGGCTTTTCAGGCTTAATAGTGACAATGACTCCAAAGGGAACTATTTTTAAAATGACATTATCCTAATGACTTTTCAAAGGAAAAGAAAGATTGGGCAACAGAAATCTCACCATTTGTATATGCAATGTTGTAATGCCCTGGAACTGTTCCGTTGGCCCAAGGTAGAAACAGGTATAACATCAAGAGTTCTAACTAATCCCCTGCCCTATTTCACAATTGGACATAATGCTTTTTCTTGGATACTAGGTAAGTCCATCACTGGTGTTTGCTTCTGTCTTAAACATCACCTACAGAATCTCTGCTCAATCCTCAGTCCCCAATCCATCACACCTCACTCCACATAGTGAAAAGCTACCACAAAAAAAAGATCTTAAAACTAAGATAAATTAGTTACAAAATTTGATATACCTACCAAGGTCTCTTATGGCAGTCGCAGTAAGCATGGGATCTGAACTCACAAGGATAGCTGAAAATAATAGCCATGGAGTATCCTTCAAATGTAATTTATTCACAGATGACAGATACCAAAGAATTAAGAAATAATTAATTAAAAGGCCAGGAACTGTAATTAAAAGAATCTGCAAAGAAATTTTACAAAAAAGAAAATCAGATTGTTTTTGTATTCAATTTTAAAAAGCAGATAGTCAGGATTACTGGAGATGTAGAATCACCAACGTGAGTTGGGCTGGCTAGCCCGCCCTGCTCCAGCTGGCACGCCCACTCCAACAGATGCCAGCGACGGCTCGGCAGAGATCAGCTGAAGCAACTCAAACCACTTTTCTATCTCTGCTCCTTTCAATTTCATCTTTTTGTCATTTGTCTGAACTCCACATGTCTGGATTTGGTTTAAAGCATAAACTATTCTAATAGTTTTTCTTCTGATGCAGCTTAGGTAATGGCCTTATATTTACAAATCCGTTTGGATTATTTTGAAAGAAATGTACACCATACTTACCATTTGGAGTGTTTCTTCTCAAGATCTTTCCCTGATATAGTCCAAATTCCATATGATTTTAAAAAGTCATTATAGTTTGTGAATTAGAGTTATAGCTGCCTCTGTGAGTTGTCTTCTCTGGTTTTGTTCTTTTACATATGGATGTAGGAAGCTTTAGAAGGTGGGTATTATTAAAACATGACTTTTCTCAACAATTTCCTTTCACTGGAGCTAATACACTCCATAATAGCTCTCTTATAATCTTTCACAGTTAAAATTATAACTGCTACGAAGTTCTGCCAGTCAGATTTTCAGAATTGCTTTTTTCCTCTGTGATTTGTTTTGGGGGTCTTCAATGTGCTAGACAATTGCTAAGATATGGTTTAATCACTAAAATATGAAGCTGAATTTATTATTCCCATATCCTGTACTTTTGCTGTCTTCTTTGTTTTCTATTTTGGAGCAAAATTTTTAAAACTTTGAATATAGATAGCATGCACTTCATGAGTAAATGATATTATTTAAAAATGCTACTTACTTGCAACAATAACTTTTGGAGTATGTATACATCCATGTCGAATGCAACATTAAAGAAAATTACTGGTGTAAATAGTCTAAAAAATAATTCTGGACTCATCTCTTGTATGGCATCTGCATATCTTTGGATCTAATAATACAAAAATATGTCATTTTCTCATTTATCCATCCCTTTATTAACATAGAATATATGCCAGGTACTCCTATCTTTAGCAACAGAGAAACACAATTTTCGGGTATATTCACACCTAATGGGTGCAGTGTGCACCATCTGGGGGCTGCGCATGCTTGTAGCTCTGACTCAGGCAGCGCAAAGGCAATATATGTAACCTAAACATTTGTACCCCCATAATATTCTGAAATAAAAATAAATAAATAAATAAAAGATACATCACAATGTAGTAAGTGCCGAAGTCTTAACTCTGTTGGATTTTCACAGTTTTCCATCAGATTATTGCCAATTACAGAGAAAAGTTAATGCACATCCCTATGCCCATTTTATTTTATTTTTAAAGAACTGGCATAGAAAGTTCATTGACATGGGTACTAAAGAATATGTAGCAGATTTTCATACATACAAAAGGAAAAAAGAGGTTGCAGGTAGGGTGATTATCATGAAGAAAATCCACAAAGGAGTAAATCAAATCAAATTCTAGAAACTTTATTAATAAAAATAATTTGCCATGTCTTTTACAGAAAATGTGTGTGGAGAAACAGAAGGGATAGAGGCTGGAAAGTTAATGTAATTCATGCAATAACTAACAATGTTTATCATAAGCTATTTAGTTGAAATTTGTAAATCCCATTATGGGCATCCATTCAACATTCATTTATTAAGGAAACACCAAGTACCTACTGTATTAGGTGATATCTTTTCGTTTGGGAGATAATTTGCCGTGGGTTCTCTTGTGTTTCTCCATGTATGAGTGGAGGCACTGACTGCTTTTCTTCCAGCTATCTTTTCATGAGTGTTTGTATGGCTAACAGTCTTGGAAGACAGAGCAAACGTCCTCCGGAGCAAAGGGCAGGCTTACTTTGCTGTCCAGTGTAATAAAGGTAATGTTTCCCTTGGAGGAAGACAGCAAATGAGCTTACTACCCAATATAAAAGATGCGGGTTCTCTAAGCTCAGGTTTCTTCTCCTGTAATGCAGCCCACTGAATGTGTAGATTTCGCCGAGCCCTCTTTGCTTGTCCCTGCGGGACTGGGGTTTAGGAAACAGTCACAAGGAAATGCTCATACTCTGGGAACTGCTGTTGCTGCGAGTAATAAAGTCCCTTGTCTCTGGCCCAGGAGTCCCATGTCTTTTGTCAAGACTAGTTTATTAGGTTGCAAGTAGAGTAAAAATCTTAGACCTTTCACAGTTTTTTAACATAAAGTCTCTCCCTTTGAAGGAGTTGCTGACAAATAGTAAAGTTTATAGAAGCACTTAAAATTGCATTTATGTCAAAATCCTATAATTATAAAACCTGTTTACAACAAGTGAAGCAGTAATTTGTTTCTGGTTCTCACATGAATTCATGTTTTCTATAATGTTTTTAACATCACTGGCTAAATTTGTTTGGAAAAGTCAATTATTTTCAGACAAGTTCTCGTAACTACTCTTATTTACTAGGGCAGACATTGGTAAAGGATGGTCCCTGGGCCAACTCTGCACACTTGGAGAGTGGCTTTCATTCTAATGGAAGCCCTATAAAACATTCTTAACTGAGGCAAGTGATTGGCTCAATATTAGATTCTCTCGCTACTAGAGTCCTGTACCAGTAGCACAAAGTCTCCTTGAGCTCCAATCTCATTAGCCAATTTCTTGGCTAAGCTTTTGAATTCTGTTTAATACTCACTGGCCACTTACACTCTCAGTAGCTATATGTGCACTTGTTCCAAATTGCCTACATAGTTTTAGACCTAGGCTCTGTTTTGAATATGTTTAGCTGGATCTCAGCTTTTTCAGGCCTGACTCTTTTTTCTACACATCTAATCTGATGGATGCCATCCACATTACAAGCATCTATCAACTGGCACAGCAGTGAGGGGATGAGTATTTTTGCAAAATTTTTAAAGCCATCTTTGCATTTATATTATTCTTAGATATAAGACAAAATACTCACTATACACACCTGGTAAGATGTAAAACTTAGTGTTTCAAAACTGCATCCAATGAAAAATAATATCACAGAAAGAGGAACTGGAAAGTCTTTCAAGTGTAGGTTCCAAAATGCTGCAAAAAACATGTTGTTAATGAAAGGCAATGAAATATCACATTTATAGAACTTTAATGTGATATGATTTCTCAATGTTGAGGATAATAAAATACTGCTTTACTAATCATTTTCTATTTTCCTGTAACTGAAACCCTCTCTTACACCTAAATACATGGACTCAGAATCAGTGTAATTGTTAATCCAGGTTCCTTTTTTACTTCTCCTATGATACATCTCATTCTCGTTTTTTTAGAATTTTTACTAAACACTGCTAGCAATCATTGGAACCCTGGAAGCATGTTCTTGGGTTACTATTGGAATATTTAGAGTAGTTTTTGTACACACTAAATCATAGATTCGTTTCTTTAGCAATACTGCAATAAAAGGTTAATAAATAACCTTTAATGAAACTTTCTGGTTAAGGAACAATGAGGAACTAGCTGTATTTTTCTCTTTAAAAAAAAAACTAGTTACCTATTACACATTAAAAATCCCATAACAAATAGTTAGCGTTAACTTTGTTAGCACGGTTATAAAAGTGCAATAAGTAATATCACAGCATTTCCTTCTACTTAATTTTTTTCTGCTTCTTTGTAATGCAATCCCTAATCAGCTCAAAGAAAGTGCAAAAATAAACCCTGTTTTCTTTGTATTTCCATAGTGTTCTTTTCTTCTTAAAAAAGCTAGGCATAACTTATAATTTGGATAAAACCCATGGGATCCTCGGGATACTATGATCTTCTACTTATTTGCTTCAATTATCTGCATCACTTAAATCTAACCCTGACCTATCAAGTAAAAATTTGTAAACACTTTGAACCCAATAAAGATGAAAAATATAGAAATCAGATTCTACATGTCCCTTTTCAGAGGCAGACTATCATTGGATTCATTTGATTGAAAATATTGGGATGACGTTATGAATTTAGTAACAAAATTCTTATTTCCTATTTACTGCTTCTTTCCGTAATTTTATATGGTACATTTATAAGCTATTCTCATAGAATAAACTCAGATAAAGAGAGAGTTAGCCAGGCATGACAGCACATGTCTATAATCCCAGCTACTCAAGAGGCTGAGGCGGGAGGATTGCTTGAGTCCTGGAGTTCAAGACTAGCCTGGACAATTTAGTGAGACCCTTGGCTCAAAACAAAACAAAACAAAGTGACACTTACCTCCAATTATGCAGATCAAAGACAATATGAAAATGATTTCAGGCAGGTCCCCAGGAGTAGTCAAAAAGAAACTCCAAAGCCATTCCACCCCTGAGCCAGGATGTTTGTTACGAAAGGTGAGGTTAGAACTACCCTTGGCATCGGCGTCCATTTTGTTGTTTTTCACAGTGCATCTGAGTCCAACTCTATGTCTGTCTGCAAAACTCAGGTTCAAAGGAATGTAAGATTTGCTTTCCTGATGGCCTTCTAATAATTTTCTTAAAAAGACAAAAAGCCCATATTCTACTTTAATTATTTCTAGTGATATAGTCTGCCAAAATTAGGACTGCCTCTCTCTTCTATCATGCTTTCAACAATGAGATTAAAAAGGCAGAACTCCAAGTGATAGAAACTAGCCAGTGTCACCTTGTGTTCACTTATGATGCCAGGCACTACTCATTTATTATCCACTCTGCATCTGTGCAACTGTTTGAAAGAGGTATTCTTCATCTAACCATTCACACTCACCAATACGATCATTGGGACCACAAGCTAGGGCAGGTTTCTTAGCTCTGGGGACAGACAACTGAGGCGTTTGTCCTCAGCTTATCTCAGCCCTTGGGAGCACGTTCTGGCAGCTATTCCAAAGTGGGAAGTAGAATGGGGGAAGAATATTTGGCTCTCTTTTGTTGCTTTATCCAGACAGAAATTAATAGATTATGATGACATCCAATCACAGCCGCCTTTTATGTCATTTGGGACACTGACAGGTCAGGTTTTCTCTAACTTTTATATATTTACACAGCAACCAAGATTGTAAGAAAAATACTGAAACCAAAAAGACTTACTTAAAACTGGGGAATTGTTAAATATTTTGTCTAATTGTTACTTCTTGGAAAAGGAACAACAAAGGCCTTGATAAGGCTCTGAAGCAATATATGATAGCCAGAGACAGGTAATCGCACCTGCTTCCCATGGAGAGGGAAGTTTTACACTAAAGATCTGAAACTCATGCAGGGAATTCTTATGCTTCTGTCTCTCATACTAGTAGCTTAACATTTTCCAGTGTCTGCTGCTGGCTTCATCTGGCTGCCTTGCTAAGCAATTATGATTCCTATCATAATCTGGCCATTTGTTTTTCAGTTTCTGATATGTGTGTGTGTGTGTGTATATATATATATATATATATGTATATGTTTTCTTATATGTTCTTTTCTGATAAGAAAAACAATATTTTGAGAGAGAAAATTAAATAGTTGAATATATGCTTATTGTGAATACTTCTTTAAATAAACATTTCAAAAGCAGAAAAAAATCACCCACAATCATATCATCTAGTGGCTCTTACATGTTTTATTTACATAGTTGGGCTCATCCTTTTATAATTATACTTTATGCTATTTTCCACTTAATATCACCAGCATCAAAAAGCCTTATAGACACCAGTTACAAAGGCTGCATCACATTGGCACCAAGGTAAAAGCGTGGACTCTGTGGTCAGACTACCTGCACGCATTGGTCTGATGGGCTTCTGCTTATAGGTTCAAAGACTGTGGGCAACTTACTTCAATTTCATTGGCCTCAATTTTCAAATCTGTATAATTTCTTAGTCTGCATAATTTCTCTCTCTGTATTTATTACTTTTTGGATTCACCTGGGAAGCTACAATGGTACTGGTAAGTGGGTCCTATCCCCACAGATTGTAATTTCATTCAGTCTGAGTTGCAGTCTGGGCTTCCCAGGTGATTTTAACGTGTAGCCAAGGCTGGCAATCGCTGTGATCCACCCAACTCAAAGGCAACATTGCTCAATTTTCAGTCTCAAAGGCAGCTTCTTTTCAATATCCTTGGTAAGGTTTTGTGAGAAAGGGTTTCAATGCCCCTCAGCCAAAATCACCAGAAACATACCTGTAGCTGACAAGTTTTGTTTATTTGTTGCAGCGAGGGAGACTATACACCGTAGGGAGCTATATAATTCCTCTTGGTAAAAAAGTGTTAGAAAAAACCTATTATAGCATCTGGGCTTTGGCTGAGTAATTTTGGAGAAGGTCTAAGGAAGCGAGGGTTCATTCTAGATTAAGAGCTGTCAGGAAGTGAGGACAATTCTGCGATTGTGTATCTCAATCAATCTTCTCTATAGGGAGAGCAGACTAGAGCAAAGACAAAGCCTTAATGGGTACAGCAGCAGTAGTCACTCATTTTAGCCGAGAGTGGCGATGTTTGGTAGTCCATGGGTTACCCAGTGGCCTTGTTTTCTCTCACTTTGTCATGGTTAGAGTGACCTTGTCTGATGTTGACGTTCTGTGGGTTCGTTTATGTCCATGAGGAGAACGACATGCTCTAGCCATCATCATCAGGCCAGCCTGTGGTAACACTGGGTCCCGGCTGTATCAAACCAGTTCTAGATTTAGGGAACGCTTTTGAGTATTGTTGGGTTTTTTTTCCTCAAAGGATTTCAAAAGTTTTTAAGCTCACCTTAACACATCAAGAGCTAGAGGTAGACCTGGAGAACTTGATGGTAAAACAAATGATAGAGCAGAGTGAGTTCAGCTATACCTCCTAAGACAGAGATTCTCAGCCTTGTTACACATGGAATTACTTGGACAGTTTTAAAAAATACTAATGCCTGGTTGCTGCCCACTGAGGTTAATTTAGTCTGGAGTACAGCCTGGGTATTAGGAATTTTAAAAGCTTCCCAGTGATCCTAATGAGTAACTGGGGTTTAGAAACACTGCTCTAGGAGGGGTCCCTGCTGCTAGGAAAGACCATTTTGATTGACTGGTGATATTTGCTCTTAGTTAACATCAAACCATTCAGGAAAATATTGTCACTGTCACCTCTTGCACACTGTTACTCTAGTACTAAGCATCCTGGATCATACTTGCTTGACCAAATAAGGAAAACTATTTTCCACATCGTAGTTACACATTCCTACATGCTTTCAGAATTTAATATAATCAAGGAGTCTATTGTTTTCCAAACTATAAATAGGGATACATTTTCCCATAAGCATTTTTTTCATTTCTAAAATTGTTTATTTGAAAACTTTAATAAATATTTACACATTCAATCCTAGTACATTACTTTCAGAAAACAATAAAATTGCCCTAAGTTCTGAGTGTCCTTGAAATTCAGGGATATGATCAAGTTCAACACAATTTATCTCTCTGGTTGTGAATATGTGGTAAATACTCAATTTGCCTTGTCCAACCTCTACTCCAAAATCTCCTAATGAATCTTTACCTGAGAATAGATATCATCTTAAGTTAGCTTGTAAATTCTAATATTACTTCAGTTTAATATTTTAAGGTATGAGTAAAGAAGTAGCAGTGAGAATAAACAGGTTTTCAATGTAATAAAAACTCTTCTTCATCTTAAATTAACTTTTGAAAGCCTTGAATACATTTATGACTCAAAGTCTCATTAAGGAAAATACTAGTTTACCACATAGGTTCTCCGCATTAATTTATCAATAAATTAGCTAATCTCTCAATTCACTTTGTGTGTGGAGGTAATTAATGACTGCCCTTTCAAAATGACATGTGGCTGGGCACAGAGAGGCTCACAATTCAGGAGGCTAAGGCAGGAGGATGACTTGAGGCCAGGAATACAAGATCAGCCTGGGCAACATAGTCAGACCCCCATCTCTAAAAATCAATTTTAAAAAATTAGCTGGGCCCGGGCGCGGTGGCTCACGCCTGTAATCCTAGCACTCTGGGAGGCCGAGGCGGGCGGATTGTTTGAGCTCAGGAGTTCGAGACCAGCCTGAGCAAGAGCGAGACCCCGTCTCTACTAAAAATAGAAAGAAATTAATCAGACAACTAAAAATATATAGAAAAAATTAGCCAGGCATGGTGGCGCATGCCTGTAGTCCCAGCTACTCGGGAGGCTGAGGCAGGAGGATCGCTTGAGCCCAGGAGTTTGAGGTTGCTGTGAGATAGGCTAACGCCCCGGCACTCTAGCCTGGGCAACACAGTGAGACTCTGTCTCAAAAAAAAAAAAAAAGTTAGCTGGATATGGTGACACACACCTGTCGTCCCAGCTACTCATTGGGGAAGTTGAGGCATGAGGGTGGCTTACGCACAGGCATTCAAGGCTGCAATGAGCTATGATTGCACACTGAACTCCAGCCTGTGTGGCAGAGTGACACCCCAGTGTTGAGAAATTTTTTGTCTCATGGAGTGGAAGTCACACTTATTCACCCTGCCCCTGAAAATGGAACAGGCTTTTTTCCTTTTAATTGCTACATTTTGCAGGAATTAGGTGACAAAAGTATCCTGAAGGGGGCACTGTGGAATCCCAGTAATCTTCACCTGCTTAGTGGTTTGTTACGTATGAACAACTGTTGGATTGTCTCCTTAGTGAACTTTCCTACTACACAATGTAGGCATCTTACTGCCTGAAGGTGAGAGGTTTATTGCCCTCCTAATGCCTCTTCACTCGGACTGAGCCCCTCTTCCTGCTCAGGATCAGCCGCACACACCTGACCTGAGGAGATGCATTGCTTTCTAGGGACTTGATTTTCAGTGTCTCATTAACTAACACAAAGGGAACACATGCCAGTGAATACTTCCTAAAGAGTTAATAGGAAGGGCAGGGGCTAAGGGGCGAACTGAGAGGCTGGTTGATCTTTGGGAAAGTCCTTCATTGTCTGCCTTGAGAAAGGTGGAAACTCCAAGAGAGAATGGCTCAATCTGTAGCTGGACTACTGTGGGAGCATTTTTCCTCCGGGAGGGGAGGCTGAAAGAGAAAGCAACGGGTAAGGTCAACTTCCAAAAAGGGAAACTAGAGGAGAGCTCACCATCCAGCGCCAGTGCAGGCCAGCTATTTCGCTCACTCCAGAGCTGCCAAGTCCAACTGCAATCTCTCCGACAGTTAATAGCTCCAAGCCCCGCCCCTAGTCTGCACCCATTGGCTTCAAGCTCATAACCCCTGAATTGATTGGCTGAAGAAACACAGCATCTTTGATCCTATGCATCAAAGGGATTTGAAGGCTTACGGCTTTGATTATTTAAAAAAATAGGGCCGGGGGTGGGGTTGGGTGGGGGCGGTGTAGCTTCGAGAAATTGCATTGCTTATGTTACTTTAAAGCTTTGGAACAGTGAATTTCTGGCAAAGAGCGGATGGACACTGCTTTCCCAGAATTTTAGTAGGACGGAATTTCCTGGGTAAG